ATAGGCTCCCGTTTTTTATGGTCCCATATAACGGCTCCAACCACAATATTGATTTTGAAAGCTCTAACTGCATTATCCTACCGATCTTTCTGGAATTTCTCGTTTAAAGTGGAAAACGATTGAATCCATATACTTTTGTATAAAAATGTTTTCTTTACCTAATGGCGGAAGGTATTAGAAGTTCGACCCGGCCGAACTTGATGTATTTTTACTTTTTTATCCCTTTCTCCATTTCTTATTCAAAATAATTTTTCTTCAAACAAATTTTAAATGCAATATGATTCCATAACCCTAAAATAATTTCCTATTTAAGCATAAAAGTTGCACAAAAAAAAGAAAAACAAAAACCTATGAATAAATATTTTCATTTTTGCAGGTGCCAAAAGAAAGCAAATTCATATAAAATCTACATTTTGCAACAAAAAATCTACAATTATATATATTTAAACAATGTCAACTTTTTTGATTATGAGGGGATGTCACTTTGAATTTAATATTTTTAGGTATGTTTGATGTATGTATATAAGATTGTACAATCATTTGTACCTTGTCAATTGCCAATCATGGATATTTCAATCAAGATAGTCGAAATGACATGTGGTATGTGAGACATGTGATACGAGGGTAAGAATACTCCAACATGTGTGTCATGCAAATATCGTCTCGCACCCCTGTGCAATAACATAAGAGTAATGAAAATGATGAATTGAAAAAGAAAATCAAGAAAAAAAAATTAACATGAGGTGTATGCTGATGGATTTGGGTTTGGTCACAATGGTGGGTAAAGCCACAACAGCCAATTCTAATACGATAGCAGTGAAATGATAATGTCAATATAAGTAAAAATTTTAAACATTTTTGGTCTTTTTCTATACGTTTTGGAAATTCACGAGAGTTTTGACTTTCCAAATTGGTGTCACATTTTACACGGCGATAAATCATTGGCATTGGTTATCTGGCATTAACGCCTCTTGTGGTAACGCATTTCGTTTTCAATTTGATAAGCGCAATCATATCGGCTTTATACACAGCCAATTAGGCATTAATATGCCGAAGTATTTCATAAAATATGTGTGATTAACTAATATTAGCGTTCAATTTATAACTATATGAAGGCTAAAATAAAAAAAGGCTATGGGCGTGGATATGATAAATATGTTCAGAATGTGTATGGTTGTAATATATGTTCTTTTGTTGAAAATACTCAAATAGAGATTATACAGGAATTTCACAGTTAGTTAGTAAGGTCAAAAATATCAGCAAAATTCTTAGGGAGGTAATAGCTCAAAGCCCTTAGGTTATGATACCCTCCAACGTCGAAAATGTTATATATGATGTACAATTGGACTTTTTAAGAAAATCATCGAAGTTTTCGTGACGATCGGACTTTAATTGCGACCAAAACACCTCGAAATATACCTTTTAGACCCTTCTCAGATATATATAATTTTGATCAGCATAAAATTCTATGTCGATTTTAAAATCTATTTGTCTGTCTGACTGTGAAAATCACTTTATCTTCCGAACGAATAGAAGTAGGCTAATATAGTTTTAAATATATGTGTATTTAATCTGCAGGACTTTTTGTATTGAAAATGAGGTGTATAGGACCTCCCTATATGCGACATTTTTCATGATTTTAACAGTATTTTTCTTTTTTACTTTTATTTATTTATTTTATTTTTTTTTTTCAAATTTCCAAATTCCTTCCAAATGGTGGAGGGTCATAAATAAATGTCATAAATAAATAGAACTTTTTCGGAGTGGAGCAGAGTTGACTCCGGAGTCAAAGTCGTTCAAAACACCACAATGGACACATCAGAGTGTATTGCTTGTTCTTGCTATATTGTTGATGTATTGTAGGCAGGAGTGCCATTTTTGCAGATTTATGAGGAATTCCGATTTGCAGATTTTTGCTATAAAAATGACGACAATTTAACGATCGATACGAATTGTCTCACATTTTAATTTAAATTGCATAAAATATATCCATAGTCGTTTTAGAACATCTAAATGAAACAAATAAAATTTACTTTTTTTAACACTTACTAATTATTTTAAAAAGTATCAACCGAAATTCATAATTTACTTAACCAAAACAATTTTTTTAAGGAATCTTCATCATATTCCTTAAAAAAATTGTTTTGTTTATATTCATTTAAAAAGTTTAAATATTCTTGATTCTAAAAGACTAATAAAGAAGGGATATAATTCTTCATTACATATTTTTAAAGACTTCCCCCTTTTAGAATCTGATAGACAATCTTTAATATCAGAGCTTAAGGAGTTAAATTTTCTAAGTTTTGAAGAAACATTTTTTTGGTGAAGCACCAGAGAGAGATAGAGAGAGAGCCGATAAGTCCCATATTCCCACTGCATCTAATGTAGGTAGAAGTGGTAAAAATTACTTCGGTGAATTATTTTGAATTTTATGAGAGTTGTAACTATTATCTTTTCTCTTATTTTGTGGCAATAAACCGACTTTGTCAATTTTCATTCTTTAAATTTCAGATTTAACCTAAGGCTGATCCAAATATTACGATGACGTGAGGTGATCGATACTGGAGGTGTGGGTCGATTTTACCCAACTTGATATTAGTTTTATAGAAAGATTACGATGTGCCAAATTTAGATTAAATTGGATACTCTCTTAGACAGTTATCGTGCGCACATCTAGACGGACGCCGCTAGATCGACGCCAAATGTCCTGACAAGGAATTCGATAAAAAAAAAAAGGTCTAAAACCATAATTTTGATGAGACACGTCTTTTGCCGTATCAAATGATATGTGCCTTATGTAGCCATTATTAAATAATTAAATCAGTAAGGAAAAGTCAAAAGTTAGTCGGAGCCGATTATATGATACCCTACATCACTATGAATATTCCCGTAACAAAAGGATTTGTTTGAAGAAAATCATACCATATATCAACATTTGGCTTTAGAGGGCTTGGGCTTTATGGGAGCATATACAATTCTGAATCGATTTTCACTAAATTTGACGGATACATTTTAATTTTCTGTAAGCATTGAGTTAAATTAGGATTAGGTTAAAAATTATTTCTCGGAGCCGAATTCCACAAAATGGATACGTACGTCCTAAAATTCAATAAATTTGGGCTGATATTAGTCATTCTCCGTTCTCGATAAAATTTGGCAGAGGCATTTCCGAGCTCTATTAAATATCTGATACAAAATATTATTTTTGTCGAATGTAAATTACGCATGTGAGGGACTTAAAAACACCAAATCGAATAAAACATATATATGGAAGCTATAGCTATATCTAAACTGATTTTCTTAACATTTAATGTACTTGCTTCTGGACTGAATTCGGTCGGATAGGCCAAATTTGGACTGATATTGGCTGCACCAATTAACCCGAAATCGGTTGAAGATATGTATGGGAGCTATATCTAAATCTGAACCGATCTTGACAAACTTTGACACACTTATGTCAGAGCTTTATCTAATATCTGGTACCAAAGATTATTGTTGAGGAATGCATCTTACGCGCGTGAAGGACTTTAAACGCCAAATCGGATAAAACATATATATGGGAGCTATAGCTATCTCTGCACCGATTTACATAAAATTTCAAGTATTAGTTTCTAGGGTGAATTCAGTCGCAATTGCCATAATCCAGTACATTTGGGCTGATATTTGGTGCACTATAAACCTGATTATAGATAAAATTTGATTGATCGATAAAATTTGACGGAGGTATTTTCGAGCAGTATCTGAGATCCGGTACCAAATATCATTCTTGTGGAGTGCATATTACGTATGTGAGAGACTTAATCCCCCAAATCGGATGAAACATATATATGGGAGGTATAGCTATATCTGAACCGATTTTGATGTACTTGCTTCTAGAATGAATTCGGTGGGATGTACCAAAATTCAGGTCATTAGGACTTATATTGGCCATTTGGAGCTGTATCTAAATCTGATCCGACTATCACCAATTACAATAGGGTTCGTCCTTGGGCTAAACAAATATTGTTTGCAAAATTTCATCTCAATCGGATAATAAATGAGACCTGCATTTTGTTCACAAGAATACATGGACTGACATGCATAAATCGACCCAAAAAGTGAATCTATGAAGATCCTTAAAAGTATTATCTATCTCGCTTCCTTCTCCCTGTTAAAACAAATGCATTAAGGCATAATACCCTTACCACTATGTGGTGTTGGGTATAAAAATCGACGCAGAGTGAGATTCTATGCAGATCACCTAAACGAACTACGGGTCTATCTCGTTATCTGTTACAAAAAATGCCCAAGGACATAGTGCACTGACCACAGTATGGTGCAGGGTTTAAACCCTGTCATTATTAATTAGTCATAAAAAGATTTGGTTCTTTAATACAATTTCGAAGAAATTCCATCAAAACAAGAGAGAGTACATAATTTACCTCCTATGGTATCACTAAATATACCTTGAAATATATGAGTTCAAATTGATATTTCCCAAAAATAAAACTAGAATTATCAAATTACAGCCACACCAAACAAATTGCTGATACAAATCGAAAATATTTACGTTTTTTTCTTATTTCTTTCAAGAACGTAGCAACATTTGTTTATCGACCAACCACTTGACAGCGAATTTCAGTGTCGCAACGAAGCGACCGACAAGTTGTTACGATGTGCCCGCTGTTGTCATTCACTCTCAGATGGGTCATTGAAATACGTTTCGTTGATAAGAAATTAACAATTAACTTTGTTCTTATTGTTTCCCAATATGTCTAGCGTTTTATTGTCGCTGCTGCTGCCGCCGCCGCCACTTCTTTGGCTAACCATGTGATAAACAATTTTAAAATCATTTTCCAATTGTTTTTGCGCTATTGATATGGGCAATTTTTTCAGTAAATTGTTGTTATTTTTCGTAGTATGCGTTTTGTTTTTTTTATTCTTGCTTTTTTGAGATTATCACAAGTACTAATTATCAGAATTATTGGTATTAAAGAAAATTTTTATTTCTAACAATTTCAAATCGTAAATATCGCTCAGATGTAAACGCGACCAGCTACGCGACAGGTCGGTTCGTTTGGCAAATATTTTAAACGGGATTGTACAAAAACTGGCGACGTGAAGGCGGATAAGCATCGGGAATTGCGCTATTGAAAATTAATACTCCTTGAGAAAGTGGTAATTGTCAATATTGTTTTATTTATAATAGATTTTAAAATTTGATTAAAAATGGAATGTTAACAGTGAATATGAAAAATATTGAAAACAATAGAGAGATTTATATTAAAAATTCGGCAATGGATCCAATTCGTTGGAAGACTTTTTCAAAGTAATTTACAGATTGAAATTCCAGAAAAAAATTTAATCAATTTCTCTTATTAAATTTAGAAACAAAAATATTTTGCTTGCACTTGCTGGTATAGGTTCCGTTTGGATTTTATGACATAATGACATACTAAATGTAGAAACAATTAGGACAATTGACTAAGATAAAACTACGTTTACACACAAGTTTTTTCCGGGTTAACCGCAAAATGTAAGAGCTTGAATTTTGCAATTTTACCTGAGGATTACTCTCGGTGGAACATTTGTAAAATAGTAACAAGTGACATAATATTGTAATTGAGCAATCAATAGCAACTACAATCTTAAAATTTTAAATATGGATCATTACACCGTGCAACACAAAAACTATTAAAAGAAAAAAACCCAGCAGATTATAAAATTAGAGCAAAAAAAGAAGACAAGTGTATCGGTGTATCATCTTCACAATAGATCTTACGTTAGCAGAAATATTTGGATGTGTGAAGTGTAAAGAGAGTTGGATGCTCATTTCTCTTTCTATAGGTGTTTTTTTTTTTCGAAATTTTGAGCCCTATGTGGGGGAGGTACCAGATCTCTACCATCTTTATAACAGATCTTGTATTTATGAAAATATTGAGATATTTTCGCGTTTTATAAGCTTCATGGATGGATATACACAATTTTGACCTTTTGTGGTAGAGGTACCAGTAGGAATGGACCGATACATATATATTCACACTAGACCTTGGGATATTAAAAATATTGTGATGTGTGGGAATTGAAGAGAACCGGATGTTTATTTCGGATTTCGGGTATTTCGGATGAAAATGTATATCGAAGCTATGTAAAAATCTGAACTGATCTCGATAACTTTTGGCAGCGGTATTTTCGAGCAGTACTTGTTGTACATATTACGCATGTGAGGGCTTTAAACACCAAATCGGATTGAACATATATATGGGAGCTATAGATATATCTGAACCGATTTTCACTACATTTGAAGTACTTCTTTCTAGAATGAATACAGTCGGAATTTTCAAAATTCAGTCCATTTGGGCTGATATTAGCCGTTTGGTGCACAGTACACTTGATGTCGGATAAAGAAATATATATGCGAGCTATATCCTAAACTGATCTGATCTCGAAAAAATGTGAGATGGGTATTTATACCCTACAACACTATGGGTTGGGGGTATTATAAATTTGATTGGGTCAAAAATTATGTAACACCTCGAAATACTGGTTTCCCACATAGGAAAGTATATATGGACCTTCCTATCTCGCCAAGCTGAGTCGTAATTATGGCCCGATCTTCTCGAAATTTAGAATGGAGGTGGGACTAAGTCGAGAATAGAAGCATATTGCTATTGAAGATAATCGCATAATATTTAGGGGTTGACATGGACCAAAAACTGAAAAATTTCCTGATTTTTAAGTTGCTCTACAGGTCGCAATTATAGACCAATCGACGCGGAACTTAGCATTGGGCTAGAGCTTAGAGCTGTGCAATAGTCTTCCATTTTTCGCGAATATTTTTAATTCCGACGAAATCACAAATAGACGAACAGGTCAATTCTGACCGTTAGGTAGATACCAATAGTAAATATTATCGGATATATATATAGTGAAATATATACAATGTGTATATACAAAGGAAGGGGATGTTAGCAAGAATGCTTAGATCTCAAGAATGGCTGGACCGATTTTGACAAATTTTGTCAATTCAGAATGTCCTCTTGATATGAAAGAATAACATGATTTGCAGCCCTACAAAGGTCATAAATAGCAACCAAAGGACACGAAATCTCGCATGAAGTTAGAGTTTAGGACAGAGGGTTGAATGGACCAATACTTTAGTATGAAAAAGTACCAACATTTCCATTTTACCGAAACGCCGAAAATAACTTACACGCGATATCCAAAAGGCGAACTTCTGGCTTTTTATGTTCATTTCGTTAAAGAATATAGCCAAATATCGTATCGTATCATATAGATGAGTCTAAATTTGGGGATACAAAGAGGCCACTTGCTTTGGAGATGATCGCAAAATATTGAGGGGTTCAAATGAACCAAAAACCGTAAATTGTTCCTGATCACACAATTGAAACCAATCGACACGAAATTTTGCATGAGAAGAGAGTTAAGGACAGGGAAGAAGTCTAGCATTTTGGATTACGATTGGATTATACTTAATGAACCACAAAAACTAACAACACGACGGAGTGCGTAAATGTTGGGCTATACCCTGGTCAAAATGCCAATGGTAATATCTGGGAAGTGCTCCTTAATATAATTTCAAAATTTAAATCTTCCAAAATGGATTTTGCTTACTTGTTTTAACCTAAATAAGCTATCTTTTGGAATGCATATTACCCAAATCAGATAAATCATATATCTAGGAGCCATAGCTATATCTGAACTGAATTGTATGTATTTGTTTCTAGACCGAATTCGGTCGAAGTCATTTGGACTGTTATAGGCCATATGTTGCACAAATAACCCGAAATCGGAAATTTAGACCGATTCTCACCAATTTCACGAGGATTCGTCCTTGAGCGAAACAAATATTGTTTGGAAAATTTTATCTCAATCGGATAATAAATGCGACCTGCATTTTGTTCACAAGAATACATGGACAAATGAATTAATATACATAAATCGACTCAGAAAGTGATTCTATGAAGATCCTCAAAATTGACTATGGGTCTATTTTGCTTCCTTCTCCCTGTTACAAACAAATGCACAAAGACATCATACCCTTACAACTATGTGGAGTAGGAATTAAATATATTTGCATCAATATTACTAAAAAACCAAAAATATTTCCCTATTATATATTACACCACATAGTGGTGAAACTAAATTATAGCTGCTCAAAAGTCAATTTTTTATAGGTGGTATGATCTTCTTCAAATAAATTCTATTGTTACGGAAGCTCTACTAAATATGCATAGTGTTCCGACTCTTGACTTTTCCTTACTGATTTTATTTATTCCTTGGTATTCTTTAACATTAGAAAACATTATTAAGTCATACTAAGCCAACATGATTATTTTTAAAGCAGTGTTATAATTAAAAATAATTCCATTTTAATCAAGGGCCTCCAAAAATATTTTTATCGCCCAAATAACACAAACCAATAAGTAATCGAATATAAATAATAATACTGATTATTTCATAACGACCATTAATTGCGCGACACAAAACCCCATTCCATTATTAAATGCATTTTTCAATGTGTTTATATGTACCTGCATATGTGCGTGTAAACATTGTTGGTAACCCTCATCATATCTCTCCAGCGATTATAGGTGCATACACCGACACTCTACCCTCATAATGGTGTCGCAACTTTGTAGACATTGTTACAAGCGCCGATTGGATGATAAGATAAAAATGAACAAACCAAACACTTGAAATTGTATTTAGAGTGTCTTAACACCTTAAGTGTTGACGGATCTTGGGTATTGTGGAAAATTAAATAGGTTGATTTTTTTTATTTTTAATGCAAAACACTGTTGGAAATTTAACTAGAGGTCTAGACAAGATATTTATGGGTTATTTGATCCGATCTATGGATGATGGCCAAAATTAGCGATATTTTGCCTTCGTCCGGTATGATGACTTTTCTGATGTTTTTGTACATTTTACACGAAAAAAGTTTATTTTTGGCTGAAATAGTTAAGAGAATTAATTCAGGATTTGCTATAGTCGACATAATATGTTAACTCCAAACAAATATTGGTTTCCCACATAGGAAAGTATATATGGATCTTCCTATTTCGCCGAGCTGAGTCGATCTAGCTATGTATGTCCGTCTGTCCGTCTGTCCGTCTGTCCATGTTAATTTGTAATCACTCTACAGGTCGCAATTATGGTCCGATCTTCACGAAATTTAAAATGTAGATGGGGTTACGGTCAGAATAGAACCCTATTTCTTTTGAAGATGATCGCATAATAATTAGCGGTTGAAATGGACCAAAAACTGAAAAATCCTGATTTTGCATTTGCTCTACAGGTTACAATTATAGACCAATCGACGCGAAAGTTAGCATGGGGCTACAGCTTTGGGCTGGGCAGAAGCCTTAGAATTTTGATGGTCATCGGGTAATATTTAGTGGTTGATAAATAAAAGTCAAATTTTCCATTAAAATGCGAATATTTTTAATGCCGACGAAATCATAAATAGACGAACAGGTCAATTCTGACCGTTATGTAGATGCCAATAGTAAAAATATCGGATATATATAGTGAAATATTTACAATGTATATATACAAAGGAAGGGGATGTTAGCTAGAATACTTATATCTCCAGAATGGCTAGAGCGATTTTGACAAATTTTGTAAATTTAGAATTCCCTTTTGGCATATAAGTATAAAATCTAAAAAAACGCCAATGATGCCAATAACGATGTTAATATAGATTTTGTTGTATTTTGTGATATTTTTTTATTTTTTCATATTTTTTATCGCATGCGACTTTTTCAATTTGACTTATAATTTTGTAATATTTTTGCACTTTACAAAACAGGTTTTGGTTATTATATACAGATTGCAATTATCGTCCGATCGTCACGAAAATTTTCACAAGGGTAGGATTAGGCTCAGGAGGGCTAGGCCTATCGTTTTCAAAGATGTCCGCAATATATTTAGAGGTTGAAATGGACCAACAATTAAAAATATTCTTGATTTTGCAGCCGTTATAAAGGTCACAAATAGAAACCAAAAGACACGAAATCTCGCATGAAGTTATAGTTAGGACAGAGGATAGAATGGAACACTACTTTTTTTAGTCTAGATTTGGAAATACAGAGGGGCCTCTTGCACTTGGAGATGATTGCAAAATATTTAGGGGTTCAAATGAACCAGAAGCA